CCCCAAAACCCCAAAACCCCAAAACCCCAATGCAAATTATTCTCTTTGAAATGGTCATAATTGAAATAATCAAAAAAATCATAGTTAGCAATAATAGTTTTATAATTCCAATAAATCAATTTTCTCAACTTCCTAAATCTCTCAGTTATTCACTTAACTCCTTGACACCATGTATTGCACACCACAATAGTATGTTCTCTGATTCTAAGCACCCATATTTAAAGGAGATAATCATTCCTAAATGGTATCTTTGTCTTCACTGATAGATTTAATGCCTGCTTGTGGGAGAGCATTACTCTGAATCTATTACTAGTCTTAGTTTTGCAGCATATTCTATTTCTATTCAAGTTCCTCTAACATATTGAATTCAGGATTAAATTGCTAAATCATATTCTTACTCGCCTCCATGAATCTCTAAATATCATCCCTCACTCTTTCCTCAATGCTTGGAAATTGAAAAAGATCTTAGGTTGAAATTAGAGCTTTATTCATGTTTTTAATTGACTCAATGGCATCCTAGTATATAGACCTACTCATATCCTGGACTGAGAGGTTATCAACTATATTCTAAAGATGGTTGATGATTGGCTCATTGATGTCTTGGTTAATAGCTTGAATTTCCTTCTTTGCTATCTGGTCGACTACCTTGTCGAGTTAGTTGATATCCTCTTAATTCATTATAGAAAATTCTGAAATCTAAACCTCATTAGCACCCTCAATGCTGCCTTCTTTAATTGGTTTTTAATCTTGCATATCAGCTCCTGGATTATTCAATTCCTAATCAATTGCTCCAGTTTATATGCACTAATCATAATGAATCTTCTCAGGAGTAATCGTCGACCGAATATGTTGACTTTTAATTTCTGATGAATCAATTGAACCATGTAGTTTCTTTTCCTCAGAACCCATGAACTTATCTAGTCTCCTTCTTTTAAGATAGTCATCTCCCATTGCAGCTGCAAGCTCTGCTTCGTGCTCATCATAGTGAGTAGATTATTATTCAGTTGTCTCATCCTTCATTGAAGAGCCTTTATCCTTAATGGCGCTTGTTGCTTGTTATTTAGTTCTCTTTTTATTCTATGTCTTCGGTGTAATCATCAGATCTAATTCTTCCTGAGCCTTCTCAGATTTAGCTGGAGTTTGATGTTCCTTGACCTCCTCGTTTTCTATTTCTCTCTTGATCTCTCTAATAAAATATTAAGCAAGCTGAATATAGTTTACTTTGGTATGTCAATAAGAAAATCCTTAACATGATGGATCTTATTATCCTTAATGCAATCATCAATGAAATGGTGTTCTAGGAATCTCAAATGCAAATGCTTATTCTCCAATACAAATTTGCTTAAAGATTCCTGAGTCAGTTTTAGAACTTCGGAAATCTTTTCCAGATCTAGTTCCTGATTTTAAGTTTTTGCAGTTAGGAAATAATCTATTTTCTTGAGTAAATCTCTAAAATTATCTTCTTTTACTAAATTTAAGATGAAAATTATAATAAATTTACAGGTGTTAAGTTAGACCACAGTGCCTCCATGATTCTTGAATTTACGTTCTGACTCAGCAGCTCTTTTATGATTGAATGCTCTACCTAGAGGCACGAAAATTGCTCTTCTCTCGTGAAAAAGCTCCTTATTCAGATCCCCTGATTTAGCTTACTCCTTGAGTCCTTTCTTGGCACCTATAGATTTTTATGATTAATAAGTTGAAATGAAAGCTGATTGAAAGTGATCCAAAGTAGTGAATGTATTACTTACCTGATTTATGCATCCAAAATTTTAATTAATACAATTCAAACTTTTTAACACACTTTCAATTCAACTTTGATTCTATATTGAGGGGTTTTGGGGTTTTGGGGTTTTGGGG